GAATGGTTGCCCAACTCCTTATAAGCCATTCTTAAGTTTCTCAACTTTCCAATGTGGGACTCTTTACCTTCACATTCTCACAAGAAGGCATATCACCTGAAACAAGGTTGGTTTAAAGTGATTATTTACATCATAGAGAGAAATAGTTGATGCAAACCTAATAAGTAACCATTTTCATATGGACAGGAGATCATAGTTTGAAGAAGTCAGTACTACATATTAGTGAATCGCATTATGTGCTCGATAGACTGAAGTTTCAATTAGCAATACTGTGAACCCTAAATATTAAACTCGAATTGCTTAACTCTCTTAAACCCAGAAAACTTGTCTTTTCGACCACTTTAACTTAAGATTGGTAATGTATGCATTTTGAGTATTTCTTTTAGCTTCCCTTGAAAATTTTGTAATATGATTTTTATTGTTTTTATCAAGCTCAAGTTTAGATTAAGAATAGCTTCTCTAGGTGTTCTTAACTAACAACTATCCTATAGAGGTTCAAGCAAATTGACAAAGGTAAATTGTGCATTGCATCACATTGCATTAAATTGATTTCATAAAATGATGACTAGTCATCTGTTTCTCGTATGACTAGTCATCCTTGCTCTGTAGGATTTCCAGCTGGATAACCAACTTTTTTGTCCTATTCTCCATTCCCTCTCTGCTGCCATGTGTCGATTCTGACCTAGGAAATTTGTGGGTGTAAAGGCCAAAGAATTCCTCTTTTGGAGTTGTCTCTTTTGGGTGGAAGTTTTTTGGAAAGTTTTGCTTGCCATCTTTCTCTTCTTCTTCCTCAAGAGAGAACCATCTTATTTTCATCTATGAGTTTTCCAAATGGATCTCTTTTTGAAAAACTGCATTTGAAATACTAATATGCATCTAGCTAATTAAAACATTCTCTAATTTATATCTAGGTCAGATTCAATACTGATTTCTTCATGAGTATGGTTTCTTGAAGAAATTGGTCATTCTCATTTGAATCCAAATTTTGGTTTCTGTCTGAGTTAGAGCTTGCGAGCTAATGCCATGGGTTGAAAGTGTAAGATTCCACATCGACCAACAGAGAGGGGGTGATGTGCCTTATATGTACATGCCCGCCTCCATCTAGCACGAGGCCTTTTGGGAGCTCACTGGTTTCGGAGTTATAGGAACTCCGAAGTTAAGCGAGTTGAGGCTAGAGCAATCCTAAGGAGCTTCACTGACTTAGGCCTCAAGGAAGCAAAGGATTTAGTGGAGAAGGCGCCATCTGTGCTAAAGAAAGGATTATCAAAGGAAGAAGGAGAGCAACTAATAGAGAAGCTCAAAGCTCTTGGCGCAAAAGTTGTTCTTGAATGAAATCACTACGACGATGCATATGTACTCCACTTTGAGAGGCTGTGAGATTAGTTAATGTTTCTTGCGGAACATCAGGTCACCAGCTTTTCTGAAATTTTAGCAATCCATATAAAACACATCTCAGATTTTCTCCAATATTGTTTTGAAGTTGAGATATTTTCTGATGATTGATTTCTTTTTGTATTGATATCTAAGCTGGCAAAGGTGAGATTTTGATTAAGAATGGCCCATCGAAGAAGAAGGCTTTCCATAATTGAAGGGGGAAGTTTTTGAGTAAGTTTGATGTCATATCTTCATAGTGTGTTGTAATTCCACAATAGAAGGCTAACCACATATATGTAAACATGATTGAAAATAATGTTTGAAGGACTAACAATCAAACCAACAATCTTCTCCTCTGTTTCAGTTCTGTATGTTTAAAATATTGCAACCTTTAAATTGAGAGAAGAGCTGGTTTCTAAGATGACCCAATGGCCATTAACTTTTGTCAGCAAATAACAACTTTGAAAAGACACTAGAACCTCTAAATACAAATTGGAGGATCTAAAACTCGACCACTTTCATTCTAAAATTCTTACACAAATTTTCACCATTTCTCATCCACCAAGAGTTATTTTCTTGATAAAATATTTTTCATGCTTGACGTAGACGGTACCAGCAATCATTTATTATTTGGAGTTTATACACAAAATGGCTCATTAAGGGTTGCCCAACTATTTTTACCCGTGACAGGAAAACTTACTATTTTGGCTAATTGTACCATGTTTAGGACGAAATAGCCTCGATTAATTTGACCATGTCAACTGTTTATTGGATCATTTACTTGACCATGTAAACTTTTACAACTGGAGGTTAACATGATTGAAGGGTTATCAAAATGAGCTGTTAGAGAAAATCACCAGTGACCTTGTTTTTATAGGGAAAGAATACACGGCCAAGAAAACTTGAATCCCGCTACTTTTTAGAGAGAGTTCCTGAGATGGTCCCTGAATCTCTCCACTTGGGTCATTTTCCAAAATTATTACTTTCCTTCACTCATTATGACCTTAACCTCTATGGAATATTGTACACATCAGTAGGATCGCCGGCAATTTTCCGGAACTAGGGAAATATAACAAAGCAAATTGAGAAACAAGCAACCAAAATAGACCACCTTCACCATTTGCATAATGTCGATTGCCCCTACTTAACAGAGCACCTAGTTCTTGGCTTTGCTTCTATCTTCCCCCCATAAGATCCCTTACATGATTGAGTAGAATTTATTCTTTGGTTCTTTTGGTGTCAAGAATTGGAGTGCAGAAAACATCTATCACATCTATTTTTGAGTTGTGAATACATTAATACAAAGATGATATATACCATAATTTATTTTTAAACAGAGATTGTCTCTGCAAATTCACAGGTGCTTGCTTATTGAAACTAACTAATCCATAGGTTTTTGAACTTCAAATAGCTCTTTCAAATTAGAAGAAGGCCCTGGGACATTGGGAGTATGGCTCCACCATAACTTGGAGACTTGCCCATGTGTCCATGACTCCATCAAACTTTTAATTCGCTTGGAAACGGAAATTGTGTCTGCAAATTGCTCAATTTCTTACAAAACTATCAAGCCATACTTTGCCTAAACTTCAAATAGCTCCTCCAAGTTATGTCTCCACCATAACTTAGACATTTGCTGGTAAACCCTTTCAGTTGGATGGAAGGAGTCAAAAAAGACATACTCAGTAACATTGCCACATAACTTATACCCAGTCACACCTCTCTTCCCTCCACAGGTATAAATTCCTCCGTATGGACCAGAGCCACAGCACGCCGTCTTTCCTTCCTTGAAACCTTTACGACACAGTAATACCGAAAAGAATATTAAAAAGGAGACATGACTTATCAGCTTATGACAAAACCAAATAAGAGAAACTATAACTTAAAGGAGAAGGTTTCATGGCTATGCAGTGGCGGATCCAGGAATTTCCTCTTCGGGGGTCAACGTTTAAAATCTCACAATTTTTTTTTAGACAAATCTTTTGTTTTTCATTCTTCTCTGTCTTTTTTTTTTCTTTCTATCTCACATTAATTTATCATTAAACACATTTAATATAAATATAAAATTAACTCAAATACTCAAAATTGCCTCAATTCATTTTTAAAAACCCAATAAACAACAAATAATATTATCATAAAAAAGTTAAAATTGAAAGCTTCATCATCTTACAAAGTTTATGTGTATATCAATCTCACAAAAACAAATAAGTACACAACTTAATTAAAATAAACACAAATAAATCCAAGTTACAACTTAGTAAAAAAAAAAGATACATTCTCAGTTTCAATGGTCCATATTTCTCTTTTGTAATATTTCTACATGCTGATTGGAACTTGGAACAGGAGAGCCACTTCTGCAAGTCTGCCACTTCAGCTTTCAAGGAAGCCATCTCCTCAGTTAGCGCTGCACACTCACGCGTCCTCGCTTTTTCAGCACCATCATTTTCCTCCCACTTGCGTTGCGTTTCTCAACCCAACTGAAAGAGAAGACCAAAACAAAAACAAAAAAAGAAAAAGAAGAACAGAACATAAAGTGAATAAGGAGGAGGAAAAAAAATAGAAC